CCTTCTACAAATAAGAAACAGTAACACTTTATTTTTCTTCGAATTACCTACCATAACCAAGGTACATTATTGAGAAATTCTTCAATATCTTGTTTTTGTCATCTTACGTCTTTAAATGAAGATGGGAACATTGACAGGGAAATAGATTTGAACGAAGAAGTTTTGTAAAGAGCGCGAACGGTAGTGTGAATGATTTTTTTTACTGAGAAAATAAGCAAACAAACAATCTCAGACGTTTAGTAGTATATAGATACATTCTTCAAGATTTTGTTTTTTTGTCATCTTACGCCTTTTAATGAAGATGGGAACACTGACAGGGAAATAATATAATAGTCAATGCTCGGCGAGTGGTTTTCGTTTATAAAATTTTGTTGTTGTTGTTCTCGACTTGATTTTTTTTATTACCTCGTCTCCATAGTTACTATTTGCAAATAGTCAATAATATTGTAGGTCCATTTTATTGTTGTTCTTTCTACGCACTGTTATAACATATTTTCATCTCATCATTTAATTTCTGTTGTGCATATATTCTTGTATAAACGAAGTTTTATAATAATGGAATGTACGAAAAGTGACCCGAAAAACGGGGCTAACTCGGTAACCTGTGGTCCGATTTTAACGAAACTTGTTTATTCTGTTTTTATTCTCATTTCATTACAAATATGGCACTATTCTGCACCGTTTGTGCTGTATTTAATTACAGATAAGCACACACACAAACAATCTCAGAGTTTTAGTAGTATATAGATATGTGTAATTCAAAAATAGATATCAAGTTTCAATTTCCTTTTTCCCGTAGAGATTACCAAATATCCCCATTGACAATTATATTGTCATGACCTAGACTTATTCGCTATGCTTCACATTCACAGTGCTCTCATTTCAATTGGGCCGAGATATCATTTATCATTGTATAATTCACTTATTTATTAGTTTTCAAAGTCTTGCCCTCATTATACAATTTATGCTTTGATTCATCTTGTGTTTTGTGTTTCGTTGGCACAACAAAAGACACTCAAAAAGCAATTAAAATAGGTGAGTAACTCTTACTGTAGTAGATAATAACAAACAATATTTGAAGTTTTTTTCCACTATTTGTTGTCGATGAATGACATTTAATTTGGTTTCAGCACTCTTGGGTGTTGATCACTTAGTTTCTAGTACTTTGTACTTGCTTTTCCTTTAAAACAAGTTCATTTGTGTACATAACCGTAACAAAATGAACTACGGCTCTATACGAACTAAAGCCAATTCACAATCAGGTGGTAATCGAAAATATTAAGAAAAACATTTTTTGTTGCACTTTATTACCTCATATAGTGTTTTCAATGTGTCTCTTTTTTTGAGTACATAATATATTTCCTAACATTCTGGTTGCTGTCTCTTCTTTATATGAAATAACGTCAGATCCATTCTGGCTATTACATCTTTTTCATTAAACATCTTTACGGTCTTCCTTTCTCACATAAAATTCATTCTGGTTGCTGTCTCTTCTTCATAAAACATTTCTACTATCTTCCCTTCTTACGTGCGACATAATTTGAAGCAAAACTATTTCTCGTTGGCCTATCTTTTTCTTAAGGTTTCTATACTATCTTCTGAATAATAAGCCCATTCTTGTTGTTTCATCTTTTCACACCACGTTATACGATGTACTTAATATAATTTTTAACAGAATCTGTAGTTTTCTTTTCTATTTAATCACACTCGTTGAATGAAGAAGTTCCTTGAAGTCTGTATATGATTTTATCATTAGTTTTATCATTTTCGCCCTTATTCTCAAATAAAGGCATACGGAGGGGAGGTAGTTGAACGACTATCCCAATATTATAAACATTCTTAAAGATCCACTATCCACCATTAGCTGTAGCCAAATCACAGCTAATCTGCTTAAACTAAAGCTCAATATCGTTCTTGTATAAATGAGAAAAATATTTTATTGTTTTTGAACAACTTCTAACTGAAAATTTTAGAACACATCTAGTTCCAGTAATCATTCTAAGAGTTTTATAAATGAATAAAAGACCCAGAAGTTAAAGCAGCCCTCGCTAAACGTTGTTGTTCAATACTTCAAAACGAAATTATTTGTCAATAGCATTCCTATCTTTACATGTACAGTGCAAAGTTCCAGCTTCAGGATCACAAACAACATTTATCGCTGTCAGTGCAGTTCTAATTGCTAGACATCTTTCAAACATTTTGTCAAAGATATTCACTTTAAAATATGACATATGTAGACACTTTTAAACACAAAAGTATGAAATCCTGATAAATTGGAGTAAACCATTGAAAGAATACTTTTTTATTTATGTTACAGGGAGGGGCAGGTTATACATATGTCAACGTTCTTTACCTTAAACAGCTCTCACTATAGAGTCAGTTTCGGCTTGGTAATATTCTTTACCTATATCAGCCTTGTGTGGTAACTTGACCCTTAAGAGGTGTTTGTGGTATTAAATGGTTACAAGCTTGCATTGCTACATGAGTGTCGACTAACAGTATGGTTGACCTTCGACTATAACTGGACCACGTGCACTTCCATGAATGGTGCTGATGATACAATCTTTGGACTTGGGGTTAATGATCTCAGTCATGTGTTTAAAAATGATATCTTGGGACAGACGACTCTGTCACAAAAACACATGTTCACGATAATAACATTATCACCGAGGTAGTGAAATACTTGCAGAGCGTAATAACAAACTTTAAGTGGAGACTTTCTTTTGTATATGTATCTGTGTCAAAAGTATAGATTTTACCGAAAATTTCTAGTTAGACCTAAAAATACTTGTTGCATAAACTCTTCTGTTCTGTTAAATTTGAAGCTTTTACTTATCGTTCATCATATAAAGTCAATCAGTTCTAATTATTCAACCTTTTGCAGTGAAACTATTACTACGTCTTGATAGCTTACCTGTACTGGTGAATTAGAAATAGTTTAGCTGAGACACATGATTAAACATTTTAATTCATTAAACAATAGGAGCTAAAGAAGTCTAAGTAACATCTAATTAATGGATTAATACTGAGGTTAAAAGTCATAATTTTCAAACGAATACATATCAAATAGTCCAAGTAACAACCGATTAACGAATTGATACTGGGATTAAAACCTGTTTTCAAATAAATGTATATTAAATAGGAGATAAAAAAGCCAAGTAACATCCAATTATAATCTTACTTCAGTAAGATGAGGTGAAATGTATGTATAGATGCAACCATCTACAGTCAGGTTATGTAATAGTTTAGTACAGTAATTTTTTTTATATATATGTGTAGATGATTTTATTGCATTGCCTAATAACCAGGAGCAGTTGAGCGTGAGTTAGAAAGAACAAGAAGCATTATACGCCACATAACCAACATCCTACTGAGAATACTCGTGTCCAGAGTAAGAAACAAACAAAAAAAAACCTAAAGGAGCAGAAGTAAAATGTGGATTTTTTGAAGGTAAAGGGACAAAAAATATGTCATATGTATATACTTAGAACATTAACAGAAATAACATTTGAGGTACAAAAAGATTTAAGTATATTTAAGTGTACTAGAAGCAAAGCACAGCCATAAAAATAGGAAATAATATCGGTACTTTTAAAGAAATAAAACGAGGTGTCAGACAAGAACGTGTTCTTCCCACCTTTTCTCAATATATAGCGAAATGACACACAGAAATATAGAAATTAGGTCGAAAATTAAGGTTAGAAGACATAACATCAACAACTTGGGTATACAGATAACCCGAGGCTAATTGCTGAAAATGAGAAAATCTTAGAGAAATGATCAATATAATTATTGAGAAAAGTGAGAAAAAAGGATTGACTTGCAATAGGAAGAGAACAGAATGTATGGTAACATCCAAGAAAATCAATATTCCAAAATGTAGCATTACAACTGATGGGAAAAAATCAAACAAGTTCACCGTCTCAACTATCTAGGCTCATTAATAACATCAGATGGTAAGTTCATAGAAGAGGTTAAAAGGAGAATAATGCTTGCTTAGAACGCCTTTCAAATTACGAAAGCTATACTGATAAACAAAAATATATCAATAGAAGTAAGAAAAAACGTCTTACAGTGTTACATCGAAACCATAATTATATACGGATGCGAAAGATGGGCAATAACAAAGAACTGAGAAAGAACCAAAATCTGGTTCTTAAGAAGAATGCTACGAATAGCACGAACTAAGAAACAAATCAGCAAACACAACATGCAACATCATCAAGAAAATAAGAAAGAGACAAGCTGGGTTCGTAGGCCACGCATGAGGAAAGAAAAGATGGAGAACATGGCAACTGGCGAGAAAGAAAGAAAGAGAAGCAAAGGAAAACAAAGAATAAAGATGCTTGATCGACTCATAACACAGTTAGTAAGCATCAGTAACAAAATAAAATTGTTGACGAACACCAAGGGACAGAGAGAAATAAAAAGTTATGATCGTCAACGCTTTCGTGCAGGCATGACACTGGAGAAGAAGAATATATAGATACAGACATTTCTAGTCAGGTTATGTAAGTACTTTGGTACAGTATTTGTTATTGATGTATATGTATAAATACGACCATATTTAGTCAGATTAAGCAAGCATCTTAGTACAGTAATTTCGTTGTTGAAATATATGTGTAGATGTAGCCATATTTTCAGTCAGATTATGTGTATACGTTAGTACAGTAATATTTTGTTGAAATATATGAGTAGATGCGACCATCTTCAGTCAGGAGATGAAGTTCTTATGATCAATGGGCAACAGCTGCATGGTGTGGAGTTTAAGGAAGTTCTGCGTCTTCTGGGTGATCTAACCACAGATGTCTACCACCTGGTGGTGCGAAGGGTTTGTATTTTTTATACTTTTCAACGCTTATCTGATGAGTATACCATAAGCAAATTATGAATTGCTAATGTTATTTTACGTAAATCAATAAAGATTGATAAACTAATAAATTTTTGGTTCGTATTGCGGAAATGATGACATAAATGACAAAAGCTTATATGGAAAACGTGTATTTATTTATTAATACAACTTGAAGGTTTTAAAAGAACATAATATCTCTGAATTTTTCTGTGTTCATTAAGCCTGACCACTGGAAAGGAATTCAATCGGAATGTTCGATGTTGCTAGATCCAGTAAAGGGAAGTTCGCCTCTTGATGAGACCTCAACGTATAATGACCATGAAGTACACCTACCGTTTAGTAGCAGAAGACCTCATATATTTGTCCAACAAGAAAGTCGGGTAAACTGTTTCTAGAAATATAACTGAATAGAATCGATCTATATTTTGAACAATAGGCACCATTTTCTAAAACATCATATTTGTAAACGTTAAACTGTGGATATGTGATTTTTGTAACTCTACTCTTTGAAAGATGAATATAGTAAAAAGAGTTAATGCTGGAAACTGGAGAGAGAAATAAAACTGTCAGAAATTGTAGCAGAAACAGATGATTTATTGATATAAGTTATATTATATCTAATCTATATGTCTTATGCCATCTGCTTAGGTTGCTGAAACCGGTTTATATACACTGCCTAGAAAACCTAGGGCTTCTCAACTTTCTTTTCACACTGTTGTTTTTGAAAAAGGATCAGGGAGGAAAAGCCTAGGGTTCAGTATCGTTGGAGGAAAGGACTCACCAAAAGGTGCCATGGGAATCTTCGTGAAGACCATCTTCCCATACGGCCAAGCTGCAAAAACAAACCAACTTAAAGAAGGCGAGTTGCTTTTTGTATTGTTTTTACCATAGAATGTTTGGCTTGACACTTTTCAATAGGATTTCATGAAACAGTTGACCCAAACAAAATCAAAATATCTGTTTTATAGTATATGTGTCCAAAAATTAAAATTCTGAGAAACTTCATTTGTTTATGTAAATAACATATGTAGTTATCGCTTGTTACTGATTTAAATTAAGTTATTTAATATAAACTTTGTATACTAGTTGAATAGATAGGAACACCAAGGATGATGTGTGTGTTTTGAAAATTTTCAAAAGTTTGATATCTTAGATAGAAATTTTGAATCACCATGGATTTTACTTTGATAAAGATAATATAACAGAAGCATTCTCTATGTCTGTCTGAAACAAATATTTTGTGTATTTGATAATTTTCTCTTTTTAGTACTCACTTCCATTTTTTCTGCATATTTTACACTTTTCTTTCCTTGTCTGGTACAATGGACTAAAATAAACAACTGTAATCGCAGAAACTATAATATTTTCAAAATCTCAATGTATTTTACATATTTTCGTAAGTGTTCCATTTCTTCGTAAAACCGGGTACATTTCGCAATTTCTTATAACTTAATATTTCTGTGAATTTACCCTAACATGCTGGTACAGATAAGACATCATTTTTACATATATACAGTATTGGAAATAATCATAGAAACTACACACAAAACCCAATACGAACCATATACAGAATATGCGAGCATTCTCGTACAGTACTTTTCCTGGCAATATAGTGGAGAAGCTATGCTGATATGGTTGAAAACCAATCAGTCCGTCAGTATCACATCGGCTTACTTACTTTATAAACACTAGTCATCAAAACTGCTTCCCCTCATCGGATCTATAGATCCCCGCCCTACTCCTCCCTGAAAAAAAGCCATTTAAAAGTCAACAGTCGTTACGAGTAATGGATTTAAAGAATATACAATGAGATAATAAATGACAAAAAGAAATATATATATATAGATTCATGAAACAAAACCTTCAATTGAACTATCTTATAAAAATTACCTTAAGTTAGAAACAGTTACAGTTATGTTTAATCGGAATTGGTGTGCTTGATCCAACCTCTCATCCACATCTCCACGATTTCTGAGCCACAAGACAAGAAAATCCTCAACCCTAGCCCTGCAACATCATCACTGGTATCATCTCCGTTCTGCTCGTCTCATATTTTCTTCTCTAGCTTTGAACCCTGTTTGCAGCTCTTGACTGGCATTTAATTCCCGGTTTTTCCTGACAACTTGGGGCAACACGTGGCGTGACAAGATTTAACCGTCATCAAATTATGAGTTAAAATAACTTCAATACATTTCATTTTAAAGTCCCTATCAATTGGCCATGAAGTGGGGAGAAGAGAAGCAGAAGTTTCTGCCCGCCCCTGGTTATCTTTCAGATCCCTTCGGGACCTGAAATATACTAAACCAAAATAACCGCCACGGTTCTGACTGACTGTTCCCCGTGATTGTTAAAACATATGAGACACTGACCAATGGTAGCAAGAGCCACGATCCACCACCCAAACACAAGACCTCCTTATAAATTCCCCCACAGTCTGTGCCAAGATGATCTTACTACAAAAGGCGGAAGGATTTCGAAATGTCATCCATCATAGGAAGTATTTCGCAACAACATCCAGTGCTGCCTTTGTAGATCTTTAGAATTCCCGTTATCATCATTTCACCAATATTTTGTTCACAATCAATATGTTGTCTAAGCGATCTCTAAAACAATATTCAGTTACATATTTGTACGGTGTTTTTCAGCCTATGGCAAATCTGTACACCGAATTAAGCTTTTATATTTATATTAAACAAGTCTTTATACGACGATACGATCGATATGTTTCAACATATTTCCATTTCTACTTCCATTACTGTATGTTTTATGATTTGCATAACAAATAGTATGTTATTTTTTTCATTTTATACACATACATATAACTTAAGGACAACAAGGGATCTATTTGCCCATCTAGGCCATCCCATTCATTGAACTAAACTATATTTTTCATAAAACACACAAAACTAGTCAGTTCAAATGCAATTACAATTCAAATATTCATCAAGTCTTCCCTTAAACTCGCTTAAATTAACAGCATCCACCACATCTGAAAACATAAATATTCCAAAGGCCAACCACCTTGTTAGAAAAATAAAGCTGTCTTAGCTGAAGGTGACTTCTATTCTGCAAAAAATTATATATGTGTCCCCTAGGTCTACCATTTTCACGATCAAATATGAAAAAATATTATACCTCAACACTATCAATTCCCTTAACAATTTTAAACACCTCAATCATATCCTCTCTAATTCTACGTTTTTCAAAAGAAAATAAGTTTAGAGATCTTAACCTATCCTCGTATGATAACATTACTATCACATGTATCATCCTAGTAGCCCTCCTCTGAGCCCTTTCCAACAATTCAATGTACTTTTTCAGATAAGGAGCCCAAGACTGAAAATATTATTCCAAATGTGGCCTAACCAATGACCCGTACAACGACATTATAACCTCCTTAGACTTGTATTCAATATTTCTGTAAATGCAACCTGAAATTCTGTTTGTACACTAGCTTGGACACTAGCACATTGCTTGGATGGCTTAAGAGATTGATCAATTAGAACGCTAACATCCTTTTTTTACATAACACTTTTAAAAGGATACTTCCACCAAAACTATGCTCATAATTCAATTTAATATATCCCTCATAAATTACCTTGTATTTATTATAATTGAAAGCCATCTGACATTTATTTGTCCAAATCATTTTGCAAAGCAGCAGCATCCTCTTCACAGCCAGCAAGCCCAAAACCTTAATATTGTTATCAAATTTAAATCATTTATAGACTATTCCTTTCTCTACGTTATTGATGTAAATAATAAAGAGCAAGTATCCTAACACTGAGCCCTGAAGTACCCCACTTGTGACATTAATCCAGTTTCAATTGAATTCCATTTATAAAAACCTTCTGCTTTCTTCTATCCACCCAGTTTTCTATCCAATGAGCAAACCTATCCCCACACCTTCAGATAATCTATAACGAGCATCTTATGTGATACCTTGTCAAAGGCTCTCTCATGAAAACCCAGATACACAAGATCCGCTTCTTTGCCATCATGTACATTAACAGTAACTTCTTCACAGAATGTCAAAAATTAGTAAGGCAAGATTTTCCCCTAGTGAAACCATACTGATTATCCAACAAAAATTTAAATTTTGTTAAATTTATTTGCGAAACATCTTTTATCAAGCTTTCAAAAACGTTTCTCATCAGCGATGTAAGACTAATAGGCCTATAACTATTGGAACAATTTTTATCTCGTCCCTTGAAAGTAGGAGTAACATTAGCTTACAGTTATCTGGCTCCTGTCCACTATTCAAGGATTTACCAAAATAGTTAATTTATCTATTTGTATGTATAAGTTCTATAAGAAACTATTAACAATAAGATACCTCAATGAAAAAAAAATAGTAAATTATCTTACAGTAGCTGCTGTTAGCATCATTATTTTCCATGTAGTTACATTTTTAAAGTATTGTGTCATATTCATGATAATGTAGTTACCTCAAAATAAAGATAAAGACGATTGACAAAACATTTATATTTACAAGACTCGAACGTTTCGGAATACACTTATTCCACCTTCAGCGAAATCTGAAAATAGTGTTACAAATATATTTATAAATTACTTTTATAGTATCATCAATCACTAATGTACTTAGATATTGAGTAAAGTGGTAAACGGAAGGGGGGAACAAATTACGAATGTATCTTGGATTACAAGTTACAATATTCTTAACAAACAGTTGAATTTTAAGTGGTTTCAATATGTGAAGTGTATTTCACATAACGATTTCTCTATTATTACTACAGGATCTTCAGACCTTGAACTCTACAATAAAGAAAGTATACACATAGTTAAAGACTTTAGACCTAAATATATTCCAAATTTACACAGTTAATACTCAACTGTTTGTAAGAATAGTTATAACTTTTAATTCATGAATCATTCGTAATATATTCAACAACCTGTTTTCCCCTTTCCGTTTGCCACTTTACTCAATATCTAAGTAAATTAGTGATTAATGATACTATAGCATTAGTTAATAAATATCTTTGTAACACTATTTTCAGATGTCGCTGAAGATTCGCCGAAACGTTCGAACCTTGTAAATAAATATGTTTTGTGTTTTTTCAACTGTCTTCATCTTTTATTATTCGACTTTGTTTTCCCCATAATGAACCCATTGCATCAGTAGTCTTAAATCAAGGCTTGATACGTAATACGTCACCCAATAAAAGTTATTTACTAAAATGATATTATTCTGCTTATTTATACTTGAATTTTTATTCACTATCGCGTTCTTTTGCTAAACTGTAATCATGATACGATTAAAATTATTTTCTGTTTTTAGGTGATGAAATTTTTATGATTAATGGGCAACCATTACAGGGCCTATCACATGCAGATGCAATAGCAGCTTTCAAACGGATTAAACAAGGCTCTGTTGTTTTACGAGTGGGCCGAAGAGCAACGACAAAAAAGCAGTAAGTACTAAGATTTCTGTAAAGTTTTTAATTCAATCATGATCAACCAGTTTTAAAATATTTGTAGTAGCAAGTACGTGTTGAACAACTACGTATTGGGCTTCTCATTGGGCAGGTTCTTTTGTATTATCTGATAAAAATAATGTGACGTCTAGTCCACAAAACAATAACAAATGATTTTTTTCTTCATTAAAGCTTTCTGCAGACTACGTTCACTGGAAGTCCTAATTTCACAAATAATGTTTTGATACAAATTTGGAAACTAATGTACATCTAACTTACAAATAAACTTATTTGCAGAACTATCTCAATAATCGAACAGTAACAAACACGCCAACCGATTCATTGTCTAGTTTACGAACTGAACCGAACTGAATAATTCATTGTTTTAAACTCTCTTGGTGTTTTATTAGTATTTTACTTAGTATTTTAATATTGTGCTAGTTTTCTATGTAGTACAAGTTTGTTTGAAGTTAAGCACAAAGCTACACAATGGACTATCTGTGCTCTGCCCACCACGGGTATCGAAACCCGGTTTCTAACGTTGTAAGTCCGCAGACATACCGCTGTGCCACTGGGGGTGGGGGGGGGGCTGTAGTACAAGAAGCTTCCAGATTCTACAGAGACCTAAACTTTCATGAAACTTCTAAAATTCATCAATAATTGTTGGTGTGAAAAAAACAAAAAACATGTTTTACTACATTATGCTAATGTAGTAGTAGATTGACAAATAACGATATATAAACATAACGAAGTGGTTTTATATGGGGAACCTACATGTCCCCCCCCCCCCGAAAAACTTCATTATGCTTGTAAATCTTGTTCCCCGGTGAGACAGCAGTAAGTTTAAGGACTTACAACGCTAACATCCGGGGTTCGATTTCCTGCGGTAGACACAACATATAGCCTAATGTGGCTTTGCTCTAAAACAAACACTCAACAATAATTATAAATCTTTGTTTATTAATTTAATATTAATCTCCTTCTAGTGGACAAAAACATTACAAAAATCATAGAGTCTGTAGATTATATGTAGGGATGACCTTGGTACTTAATAAGCATAATACAAATATGTACGCTAAAAATCAACGATGACAGATAGTTTTACTTTAAAATATAATTGCCACTCACTTTCATTTGTTTCTCTACCCAACAAGCCCAAAAATAAGGCAAGAAACCATAGCTGAGATACCAAACCAGAAAGTGACCAACCCACCTATTTGTTCATCTTTCTTCTTGTTGTTTCAATCGAAATAACTCTGCAAGTACTTTATCACTAACATTTGTTTAAACCTAAATCCACTCTATGTGTTTCTGAGCAACTCACGATATCATCGCTTAGTCGTAATAACTAGTAGTAATTACAAAAAAAATCATAATTTTAGTGTAAACGATGTTATCATTAACTCTTGAAGTTAGCTTTCTTACAGCAATCTAGTGTTCCTTTAAAAACTTAAATACAGAGTGAAACAGTAATTGTCAGTTAATAATAGATGAACATTAGATAACTGTAACATTTAGAATACTCAATGCTTTGTACACTATATAATCGAGCCATAAAAGAAGCAAACCCCTATATTAGGTATGAAGTGAAGAAGTAAAAAAATCAATACACATAATATTAAATTTTATTTCAAACATTTAGTTAATACAATATCTTTCAGTCAGGGAAAAAAAACATCGCAAAACAAGTAATAAAAACATTTTGTAAATGTAAAATGATATAGGGATGGCGGTGCCAAAAAGAATGCAAACAAGAATATAGGGATGATACAGCTACATAACTTTCAATATTATAATTTAACGTGACACTGAAAAATGCATACTTGACTTTAATATTACTGCATTTGGAAGTTATATATTCCTGACTGTTGATATGCAGTTTGTTTATCATAATATCACGGCCATGTAAGGGTAGGCATCAGTGTAGTGTAACTAAGAGTCTAGGGCTTATGTACAAGGAAAACCAAGTTGAGTCAAAACATGTCTTAATTATTACATACTATAAAATACTCTCGCTACGAGGTCAGTCGAAGACCCGTTAGTCTCTTGAATAACATCGGAAAACTAGTGGAAAAAATTATTGCCAAAAGACTACTTTATTATTTAGAATCAGAAAACATCCTGTCTAACATACAAAACGCATCAAGACGAAACAGACAAACAGCTGACCACTTAGTTAGATTAACTGAATCAGTATTCCAAGCCTTTAATGGGAACCATGTTGCAGTAGGAGCATTTTTAGATGTCAAACGGGCCTTAGATTCTGTCTGGCTCAATACACTACTCTATAAATTATCAAAACTAAACTTGACGACAAAAAGCTGGCTGTCCAGCTTTTTGTCCGACAGGATAGCGAAAGTAAAAATAAACAATGAGCTATCCAATTCTTTCAAACTAGAAGCAGGAGTGCCCCAAAGCTCGGTCATTAGCCCACTCTTATATATTCTGTTTGTTAATGAACACACGCGTCACAATATGCCGATGACGTACTGTATGGAGCACGTCGTGTAACTCGCTAACTGGTGCTCGAAAAGTTCAAACTACTTTAGACGCTATAACAGCATGGTGCAACAAGTGGAGAATACTCTTAAAACAACAAAAAAAAACGCAGGCCATTATATTTTACAGATGGTTTAAATGTAAAAAGAAAAAAATAGCCGGGTTAAATTAAATCTTTATGACACTAACATTCTCTTTACTAAAACTATTAAATTCCTAGGAGTGACATTCAACTTCAAACTATTGTGGGCTAACCATATTAGTAATATACGCAAAAATATGAATCAAAGACTATGTTTGCTAAAAAAAGATTGGAGGCTATCAAAAAGGAAGCAAACCCCGAAACCGTAGTATACATCTATAAATCCTATATCAAACCCCCTCATTCAATACGCTTGTATGATCCTTTGTAATATGTCCAACCCTCTGTATGATAAAATACAAACACTACAAAATCCTGCATTAAGAATAGCTGACAGATTACCCATATACACACCATTAGTATACCCAAACTCAGTTAACTCGATTCCACCAATCAAAGAAAGAATACTAAAACTAGCATCAAACCTTTTCAAGAAACCTATTAAACGTAATCCGTTAACCGAGACATTTCCAAAATTATCAGCTACCCCAGAAACTTGGTGCACCCATATTTCTCTTATGAATTTAATAAAAACCGTGTAATACGTTGACAGAGATAAAGTGATATAAGCTATATAAGTTTGAATTCTCTAGCTCAGGCACCATCCACATAGAATATTCGGCGTCTGGGTAGTGAAAGTGGGTTTTTCTCGGGGTACTCCTGTTTTCCTCCCACATCAAAATTCTGGGTATCAGGATTTTCAGATCCACACCAAAAATTGTGTTGTTTTTTTAAATGGAATTGTTGTAACCTCCAAAACCAACCAGGTCAAGTCAAATAATAACATCATTACTGTGATCCAAGCCATTCAAGTCCTCCTAACCAGATTTAAATTCATCATGATTTCTTTTTCACGATCCATATAGTGCATGAGCTGGGTGAAGAGATAAATGTTTCTGAACACCCCAATTGCTTTTGACCGTTGGTCGAAATTGATTATTTAAAGTTAATTTGGCTTAATGTTAAAAGTTTTAAATCTAAATAACTGCCATGGTGAATAAACAAACAAACAATCAGTCGAATTGACCAAGTTCGTAACCATTTTGTACTCGTGCATTTTGCAGTGTAACAATAAATTTTAATACTGAAAGTCGTGTAGGGATGATCTATGTATAGTTGTATCATCCCTATATTCTCGTTTGCATTATTTTTGGCATTGTCACCCCTACACCGTTTTGCATTTACAAAATGTTTTTTTTTTATTGTTTATAAAAATATAGTCTACAACAGTATTACATATCCTCGCTACCATGCGCACTACTGTGGTTGAAACGTTATTTTAATTTTTCACTTATCAATATTTCCTGCAATTCATTGATGTTTTTCGTAAAACAATCTAGTTTAATATTTATTTATTTATATTATTCCTCATATGTACTGAAATTGAAATAATTATGGAAACCCAAAAGTGATCTCGAACTGGAGCCACTATCAACAAATAATGACAGCTACACAGTAATTTAATAATTATACAAAACATTATTAAGAAAAATGAACAAGTTGTTCAACTTGCTAATACTTTTCACAAAACGTCAGTTTTTTAAGTTGTTTGTACTGTCAATGCTGGTTGTTACTTTAAATAACCTAGCAATTTGTTTGCCACTTCCTCAATTTATCAATGAACCTATATACTGTTCATTCTGTTAAAACATTTCATATATATACAATTTTCTATGAAACAAAATTGATGATAGAGAACATTTAGTAAAATTGCTTAAACAATATTCACGAGAAAAAATAATCTACTAATGTAAAATCTTGTTTACTCTCTGTCTTATAAAAATTTAATTACATATTGCTATAAAATGAAAACACATTTTTGATTTCTAAAACACCAAATAAAGTAAGTATTGATATGCAAAGATTATAAACTATAAAATTTTAAATGTAACTAGGAAGAAATTAACCAAATTCTGCCAAACACCATTTAGGCTTAATTCTTCTCAGGCAGATATATTACACAACACCATCAAATCAATTAAAGAACACAGCCCAGAGCTTAAGTTATGCTGACCAGATTCCTTAAAACACAAACACAATACAAAAATAAAGGGGAAAATAAATAAAATCCAACATTTTTTATAATTGAATTTTAAAACACTTGAATAGATGTCCATTATTTTTGTTTTTAAAGCCTTTACTTAAGATAAAACTTATTAGGTTGCATTTCTTTTTATTTCATAAAAGTAAATAATGTTTAGTGAATTGTTACAAGAATTAATACATTAATTTCGAACAAAATAATGGGCATTTCTTCTCATATTAATTTTTTTTTTGTTTTAGCAATCTGGTTTTCAAGTCATGTAGCAACCTCGACAGTATGTAAATTCATGTTAATCAAGGTGTACAAAACTCATACAGGAACAGAGAAAGGATTAAATATGAAGCTACTCAAGAAACTTTGCAAAGGAAATATAGAGTAAAAATGTGAGAAGAGAAAGAAGAATATACTGTGTAGGAAGAATAGAAAATATATATGTTAGTTATGTAGGCAGAAAATAAGGATATGCGATTATACACTAAATCTACCAGAGAAATTATAGTTGTGTCGTTTTTTAAACAAAACATATGGGAGAAAGTATAGGGTATAATCGTGTCATTGTTTAAACAAAACATACAGAAAAAAACATAGGTCGTTGATGAGTTGTTCTACATAATAAGCTACATAATAAATAATGCAGTGCATCTGTATATTAGAGTAAACAAGGAGCAAGAATAGAATAAAAATAACTTTCAGATCAACTTCAGGATATAACAGTTATCTAATCTTTTCAGTTGTTTCAAAATATTGGAGCAGTGTTTCAAGACATGGTAAACAAGTGTATAAAGATATTTGGATATAATATATATTTTATGTGGCTTATCAAACGTATTTGTTAAGAATGAGTAAGTTGTTTCTTTCAACAAATGCTTAGGGTAACCATGTGGAAAAAGAACACTTTATATAAAATATATTTCTTTGTGAATGGCTAGGTAAGAAGAGTTAAGGCTGTAGGCTCTTTTCTGTAGGCAAAGTATAAGGTTGCATTTGAAAGAAGGTATAAAGCTGTCAAACTGGGTGAAAAGTCCAGTAAATGTATTTTTATAACAGACAGAAGCAGAAAAACTCTTAGTATCACGATTATCTAGAACGTCCAGAAAAGAAATAGAATTATTAGTCCCAAACTGTCTTAAGCATTTGCTTACCATACCTGGAAGACAGAGCTTCATTAACATGAAACAAATGAAAATAATAGAATGTGTGTGGTTTTGTTTTGCTATGTAACCTACAGGAGAAGAGAACTGGTGTACAGTTTTTGTAGACAATGCAAAGTGAAAACAGAAGAATGTGTTTAACTGTTTGTTTGATAATTATGAAGAAGTTAAAAATTCTTGTAAAAGAAAGCAGTCAATAACAAGGATTTAAATGTTGAATAGAGGGGGTATAATTACTATACAACTCCAAAAACAAATCCAATATTTTGTATTATGGTATTGCACACAAGGAAGAAAGGTTGAGAGATGAGAAATAAGTGTTTTCCATTTCGTTGAAATAATTGTTAACACTGTTTTTGTTTTCTTTTAGTTATTAAATTTACATTTTATGTGTGAATAATGAACGGAGAGAAATGTACGATATTTTTTGCAGATAATCCAACCCAACTTTCTGCTCTTTAGGTTTACAGTTAGAAGTATTATAAAATGTGCTTTCTTTTTAAAATTCAAAATATTATATGAATTTATATCACCATAACTGGACAAGCAGTATATAACTAGATATAAAAAATAAATTATTCTCATATTCAAGTCAGAATTAATGAGGCTTCATATGTCATTATTCTAGAAACGTTAATAAATATTCGTAAATGAAACCAAAGAGTAGCACATCAAAAAATTCAGATACTTATGTAAATATGATAATACTAAGATTCAGCCTGACTTTTGCACTAGATGAGTGTAATGAAACCCCAGTGTTACTATATAGCCAGAGAGAATAGACACAACACTGATTTCAACATTCCAAGGCAACAAATATTATGTGGTGTTCATTATTACTGAATATAATTATGACACTGATGAGTTTTGCTGATAATTATAGGATATAATAATATAAGAAATATAATGTTAAGTAACTAACTTCACAATGATCAAGGTATGAAAATTATTATTTAATACCGCTGAATTTTGTCTTTATACTTTATATACTCTGAAAGCATATGTGACGTATTTCTGTATTTTATTATCATGCCATTTAACTGATTGTTTAAAAGCTTTGTTGGTGCATATTAGAATTTCAGCCCAAATTATGGTTCATTGAGAATTCGGGAATCGCCATACTTTAATATATTTCATTATAACACGTGTATGCAAATAGTTTAGTAAAGTGTGTAAAACGTAATAAAAATAAACTTAAATCTTCTTTGAACTTTTCCCTATTTTCTCTAATCCCATGCACAGTTGATGACCGTATCTTAGAGTTTATAGCAACTGAAAGTGTCTAAAATGCACAACCATAATTCTTAATGTATAACTGTTGAAACTTTTCTAAAATACATTGGTAGACTTCTTAGCCAATGACTGTTGAAACATTTAAAGGCACTGCCATAAAGCTTAATATGTAAATGTTGAAACTTTACTAATATACACAGAAAGCGTTTTTACCTATAACTATTGAAATTGTATAAGTACACAGGGAGCGTATTTAGTCTATAACTGTGGACACATTTTTAAATAGAAGGCCAGATTAATTTGTCTGTAAACGTTGAAACTATTCTGATATACAGAAACTTTCTGTCCACTTGTTGTTTGCATCAATTCCAGAGGTAGTGTCCCATTTTTCCTTACCAATTAAAGTTGAACAGTCACAGCTTAAGATCCAGTGTCGGCCTACACACTGCGAGGTTTCCCATCAATAAACTCGTGGACTGGTTTCCTCAAATAATGAACTTATCTCATGTGGTGAAGATGGAGTGTTCTTAGCTGAACATTACCCCCATAATACCAGCTAATTATTATTTTTACAATGTCTGGTTACTTTTTGTTATTCCTTTGATCTGGTTAAGGTCTGGGACACATCTTTATGGTATTGTCTCTTTTGCTTATTAAAAACTGTCAATCACTTACTGTTTGGGCTGTAATGCCTATATTTCCTCAATTATAACAGTTCCGTTTTCCTAGCATCTTTTGGAAATCTTTTGTTCCATACATACGTTTACCTGCAGTTCCCAATAGTTTTTATAAATACCATTTTCTTTCATAGTATCTTGAATGATATATAATTATTTTTACTTTTATGATGGTGCTGTACAAGTATTTTTCAATACCTGGCATATTTCTGAAACCATTAAAGACGTAGTCAAATAAATCAATGTCCTTTGTCATCCAAACAACAATAATATCTAATGCTAATTGAATGAAAATGGAAGTAAAAAACTAACCACACCAAATGAAACCATGTCTTCATGTTCAGAAACTAGAAGCTATTGTAGTTCACCTATAAACTTATCAGACTGACCTAGTAACAGTCTCAGTATGCTACTTATGAACTTAGGTAACTTATATGCAGTATCCTTGATAAACAAAACAATGCATCAGAGGAAGTTTATGCACTTTTTGACAACCATAAGATAACAAAATTTGACCATCAGAACTACGGTGACATGCACAGGTAAATGGCTGGGCCCTACCTTACTCCTCTTATTCCCTATAAATGCCATTTTTCTGAGTCATAAAAAATTATCAGCACTACTACTTTGCTTGCTGCGGGTTAAGAAAACAGAAAGATTTAACTTGAAAATAAATGGCACACAGGGATTATAGGTATTTAAACTCAAAACATAATTGCGATATGCTATTTAGC